GAGCTCTAGAAGAGAAATGAGAATTTAGGCCTATTTGGCCTATTTATACCCTTACCAAAACTACATCATTTTGGTGAGGGCCTCTATGTAATTTCCCGCATGAGAAAACCATACGCATTATCCCCCTGATTTTGTAGACTTCTATTTTAGTCACTAAATTAAGTTTTCGAGCATTTTAATTTTGTTCCCAGTTTTATTTTATTATATTTTAGTCCTTTCCCGTAATTATAGGTAAATAATATATTTAGCCCCTATAATTTTATTAATTTTTAATTCAGTCTCGAATAATTAATATAAGATAAATCATACTGTTAATACTTAGTTTTTATAATATTTTGAATTAGAGATTTTAATTTTAATATGTTATAATTTAGTCCTTAATTTTAATACTTTCATTTATTTTACAAGTTTTATTACCTTTTATATTTTAATAATATAGTTTTATTTATTTTTTATTTTAGTCATTGTTTATTTATTTTTATATGTTTATATATATTTAATTTTTATTGTTATTATTATGTATTCATATAAATATATATAATAAATAATATTTATTTACTTATTTTTATATTTTATATTAAATAAAAATCCTATTTAAAAAATTAATTTTATATAAATTACGTTTAAGAAAAATAATCATATTTTAATATTTATTTATTTATTTATATTAAGAAATGGATTGTCTTAAAGCTCCTAGAAGTCATTTTCTGATATTTCTAAGTAAATAAATATCTTATTTATAAATAAATATATATATATATATATATATATATATATATATATATATTCTTAAAATTATATTAATAAATAACAAGATTATGAATTAAATATATTTTTAAATTTTTAAATTTTCAATAATAGAGACAATTTATAATTAATGAGTACCAATTTTGGGCGTTGTGGGGGTGTTAATCCTTCCCCAAACGTAATCGACTACGAATCCCTTTTTATTATTAAAAAGAACGAATTTTTGGTTAAAAAGCAGACCAGTTTATCTTTTAACTGATGTTTTCTTAAAAACTCTTTTAAAAGATAATTTTTAGGTATTCGACCTACTTGACCCAAAAGGCCGATGGCGACTCCCAAAATATTTTAAAACCATTTATTCACATCACTTTTCCCGCCAAGTAAAATTTCGTGTCCGGACGAAAATCGGTTACGACAAGTATCATATGAAATTATAATCTTAATGGACATTAAAGTCCTTTTAATAATAAAATACATTAAAATCATTCTTAAAACAAAAAGTTCTACTTATAAGGGGCATTTGTAAATAATAATTATTCATAATATCTTGCGTTGCTCTTATTAGAAAAAACTCGTGTGGGACAAAAGCTAATTGAAATGAGAAAGAGTATATCATATTTTAATATATATAATTATCGCATACATTTGCTATACCTTATGTATACATCACTTAAGATGAAACGATATGATCTAACATCGAAAATAGCAGTTTTGAACCCAACTCTTATTCAATAGCACCTTAATCGTTATACTAAAAAAACCATCTTTTAACATCTTTTGCTTCAACTCTTATTCAATTAAGTTCAATCTTGGAACAATAGTCCTACTTAAGCCCCTAAGATGTTCTACTTAAACTTTCAACTCGATTATCTCAATCCGAATCAACATACAAATATTCACTTAGGGTCTGTTTGGAACGGGGAAAACATTTTACGGAAAATGTTTTCCCCGTTTTCAGGTGTTTGGTTCGCGTAAAACTCCCAGTCAACGAAAATCATTTTACGATCAATGGAAAACTGAGGTAAATCCACGGTATTTTAACTTACCGTTTTTAAAAGGGTAAGTTGTTTTCCAAGCTTTCCTTGCTCCACACAGAGATTAGACCAAGATTGATTTCTCCCGTTGCTTGCTCCACACCGGCGACCATTTGAAATCCTTCTCACTGGCGAGGCGGACTGTACGATTTCTCAAGTATGTCTCGTTTCTTCATCTCTCTTTTCTTTTTCCTTATTTCACTTCTTTGATTTCTGATTTTGTTTATAGTTTCTGTGAAATTTCAATATGGGTTTGTTTATAGTTTTTTCGATTTCTGATTTTGTTTATAATTTCTATGAAAATTCAATTTGGGTTTGTTTAATCTCAACTGAGAAATCATCATTTTTACCTTGACTTTTTGGTACTCAATATGGTTTGGGTTCTTGATTTTATATTTTCTGTTCACGATGTTCTTGAAAGCAGTTTTCTTACTAAACGAAATCATTTTTGTTTCAGTTTAAGATGGATTAGAGATTAGACCCATCTTGATTTCATACCAGAATAAATAGGAAGTAGTTTAGGGATACAAGTTGATAGGTATGGCTCGTAAATAGAGATGTAACCTAAACCTACGAGACATTTAATAAAATTTCTAGCGCCGTCTAGACACCGAGGACGTAAGCACATTGCCGAATCTCGTTAAAATTGTTGTGTTCTTTCGTTTACTTTTCCCGATTCTTCAACACAAGTATTTGTATATCAGATGAATCCTGATGTTGGCTGGTCCAAAATATTTAGAATCCTGGACCATTGATCGGACAAACATGCTGTCTGTCACTGTCAGTATAACCTGGTTTGTCAAAATCTTAAACATCAAGTTTTGGGTTAGCCAGTCACCTTATGGCTTAAGATTTAATCATAAATTGGTCTCCAGTTTAGCTAGAATCATTGCATGATCGAACATGTTTGCTTTTTTCAGTAAAATCTGCAACTTCAAGCCAGAAAGTCTTGTTACAATGCAGGCCACCATGGATTATAATTATATTTCCATTAGTATTTTAGTGTTATGATATAATAAAACCTGTTGGGTAAGTAAAACTCTTCATTCATAAAAAAAGCATCTTTATTACAAAATTTCAACTATATATATATATATAATTAAAACTCTATACAATCATTTATTCCTCAGTATAATTTAATTAATTGTGTTGCGTAGGATGCCAAAACTTGAACAATGAAGAAAATTGCATTAAGCCAAAAGCATTTGATTGCGGCCATATTGAAAAATATGGTTTGGGTTCTTGATTTTATCTTTGAAGGTCGCTTCATTTTTCCTCACTTCTATTCATTATGTTCTTGAAAACATGTTATATTAAACATTCTTAGTATTTGGTGTACTATTAATTAAACATTCTTAGTATTTATAAACTTTTATAATATATTTTTAATCAATTATTAATATTATCTAAAATACATATTTTTATAAAATATAATTATATATAAAAATTAACCTTTAAAAAATAATAAATAATAAAACATATTCAATATGTACAGTTTTTTCATTAAAAATAGATTTTAAAAACAGTTTTCAGGAAAATTACTCAAACAGTGTAAAATATTTTACAATGAACCATCCAAACTACCTAAATTTTTTCCGTAAAATTTTTTCAGTGAAACAAATAGACCCTTAATTTTTTTATCATTACAAACTACCTAAATTGTCACCCAGTTTTATGGACACTGTGAATCTAATCATCGTTGTTAGCAAAGACTTTTATTTCTAGTTAACGTTATTCAATATTTTAACGACACATACTTTCAATAAGACAGCTATATGTTTCAAAGATAAAAATTATCAGTACATTATTAATTGTACGAAAATATATGCTACCACCTAGTGATTGGTCACAAAATAACGTTTTTGTCATATATGAGATTTAGACCTAAAAAATTCTAATATAAACCTACAATGCATAACCATTAAATCCAATTAAGATTTTTCTTGATAAATGCGTATATAATAACCAAAATCCAGTCAAACCCAGTTAAGATATTTATTAAAATGTTGAGAATAAAATATTTTAAGGCTTAACCAACGTAACTATCTGTTGTTACCATTCATTTCCCTTGCAACATAAGAGGCAAAGTATTAGAGTGTTCCCAGTCTTGTCTCGAAACTTAGTTTAAAATTTACTTTTTTTTTCTAATTTTTTTACTCTCTCTTTTTATTTTATTTTTTCACTCAATTAAACAAAGTCGTTGGTTGTTCATGATAGTACGGAAAAATTTATTTGGATTATGACAAATTTAAGGGGGGAAAAGAGCAGGACAAATTTAGAAATATTCTTTTTTTTAATTAACACACATAAATTAATAACATAAAATTTTTTAATGAGGTAAAAATAAATAATTTTTTAGAATAAATATCATTAATAAAATAAATAAATAATTAAAAAAAATTAAATTTTAGAGTGAATACGTGTATACCCTCAAATACACTTGGATCTATCACGGTAAAAAGATTAGATAGATAAAAAAATATAATATTTATTTTTATTGGAGCGCTTAGTAAAAAACATAAACAATAATAAAAGAAAGTATAATTATTCTTTCTTTCATTACTTTATATAGTTAAAATAAAATAAAGGTTTTTAATATTACATAATTTTAAATTAACCGACGTTTCTCATATTTTCTCTAATATTGTTTTTCTAAAATTGAAATGGTATATTTTAAATTCTATACAGTGCTCTGTAGTTTATTCTTAGGAGTTTAGGACCAAAGTTTCATTCAGCTAAGCTGAGAATAATATCCGATCTTTTATATCTATAATCAGCCATAGTTTTATAATTTTGTTTTTCCTTTGCTTTTTTTCCACGGATTAGATTGTTTTTTATCTTTAAGGAATTTTATGATTTTAGAAATTTATTAAAACTTATAAATTTTAATTTTTTATAATTTTAAAAAAAATCATAAGTTTTTTAAAAAATCAACTTATTATTTAGAAATATTAAAACATAAAGTAAATTTTAAATTATAATTAAACAATCAAATAAAATATTATTTATCAAATCAATTAGTATATCCCGTTATCTCTAACAATATTTAACGACAGTTAATTTAATAATAATCATTTTATAATAAAATTAAAATATAATAATTATTTTAGTAATTTTTAAAATTTTAATAATAAAAAGAATTTATTTTAACATAATTAAATAATCAATTTTCTATTATAACCTTGTTCTTTTTCCCGAAAGTTGCAAGGATTGAGGCACCATTACGCCTTCCTATGTTTTTTTTTTCTCTGCCTTCACCTTAGACTCCATTAAATACACAAACCCTAGAATTTTATTTTTTCATGGCGTGAAATTGGAGTATTGATCTCTCATTTTCTCGAACACATATTTCTATCACTCGTCATTTTAAACAAGGACTCGCTCTTCAAACCCTAGAAAATGTCGGGCGGATTTTTCCGGGTAATTTTTTAAAATATTTTCCCCTCGCGTGTACTGTATTCTTTAGATCTTCGTTATCGAATCGGTTTCCGACTTCTTATTTTTTCTTAAATTAGGGTACATCGGCTGATCAAGATACTCGGTTCTCGAATAAGCAGGCAAAGCTACTGAAATCGCAGAAATTCGCTCCCGAATTGGAGCATCTGGTTCACTTTTTTAGATGCATCATTTTCTGCCATAATTTCTTTTCCATATCTGCGTTAATGGTCTATGTAAGGGTTTAGTTTCTTGAAAAAAGAAACATTGTTACTTTTCTTTTCAGGTTGATATCACGAAGGTTAAGATGGACGTTTTTAGACCTTGGATTGCGACTCGGGTAACTGAGCTTCTTGGTTTTGAAGATGAAGTTCTTATTAACTTCATCTATGGTCTTCTTGATGGAAAGGTATTATTGTGTATTGCCCTAAAGATTTTGTTTTCTATAGTAATAATTGTATAGCTTTATAGTTTGATGTGGCTTGAAAGTTCTATTGCTAGCAATGACCAGAACTTTGAAGACGTACTTAGTATTAGCTAGAAATTGCACACAGATGGATGGTCACTCCTTTAATCTTTTGCTGAGCTGTGAGCTGTATCTTTTATCATATGGTTTTCGTGCTAAGTGTATGTTAGTTTGGGCTTTTGGTGATCACACAATGTTATTTATACTTCATCTTGTTGTTTATTCTTATGCAGGAGGTTAATGGCAAGGAAGTCCAGATATCCCTCACTGGATTCATGGAAAAGAATACTGGAAAGTTTATGAAAGAGCTTTGGATTCTATTGCTTAGTGCTCAGAAAAATGCAAGTGGTGTTCCTCAACAATTCTTGGATGCCAAAGCAGAAGAAACTAGGAAGAAAAAGGTTAGAATTATCTCTAGGATTCTGGTTTGCATCTGTGTTAGTACCCATCTTTTCTCTTGCTTAACAATGTTAGCTTGTGTGGTGTAGGCAGAGTCAGATCGGATAGCAATTGAGATTCAGAAGAAGAAAGATAAGGAAAGTAGAGAACTTGAACAAGAGAGATTGAGGAAGATGGTAATACTATTTTTTTCATGCTGGAGTTGCAACTTTGAAGCTGGGTTTTTGGTTTTAACTTCCATTTGTGTTTTTTATGCCACTCAGCTAGCTTCTGCAATTATTTGGGTTCATGTCCTTTACCTCAAACTACTGTAGGACAATGGGGATGAAAGAAAGGCTGGTGACGCGGGGTTGGATTCATCATCAAAGAATATGCTGCCAAAGGGTTTGAATGTATGCCCCAAGGAAGAGAGAGATGCTGACCGAAGGAATGGTGTCGGAAGGAAGAGGTGAGGACCTTAGCTTCTTTATGTTTAATTTGGTGCAGTTTTCTCGCTCTTCTATGTGTCATACATGCGGACTGTGGCTTTTGTACAGACCAGGTAGTATCGTATCACCAAAAAGTTAAAGAGTCTGTTGTTAGTTTGGGGCTTTCTTTTGAGAGGTGGGGGATTTAAATTTCTCTTTTTTCTTTATGTGAAACCATTGAGTTTTGGGCTATGCAATTTAGGTAGCATTTCCCTCCTAATTCTATAGGCTTCTCCCTATTTCCAACTTGGAAATTCCCCATTGTAAACAACTTCAATTTGTGGTGTTCTCAGTTCCTTTGCTCATCCCTAGAATTGGTAACCTTATCATCTGAATGGTAGTTCTTTGAGAGATGATGGTGGACTGGTTTTTGAAAATAAAATATATTTATTTGAAGTAAATGGATGCAAATTGTTTAAAACTTTGTATTTTAAACTTTTAGAGCAATTCTAATGTATTAATCACTTTCAGCGTTTCCCGATCTCCATGTTCAACTGGTCGTCCTCCATCCCCTCGGTAATTTAATCACCACTAGGTTTTCGGTTGTAATCATGAAACCTGTTTATTAAATATCATGGGTTTCATGTGCAGGAGACCACATTCTCGTTCAGTCAGCAGATCATTTTCTAATTCAAGAAGCTATTCGGAGTACGTCCTCTCGATCTAGAACTAACGGCATAAATGCATTCCGATCATTGAACCAGGAGGAAATTTTATGTTAAACTTTCTATACTTTACATGGTTGATTACTAGTTTAATTTTTATGTTTCTGATTGCTTCATAAGTATCGGTAGATTTTGTGAGATTTCAGCTTCTGAGTTTCATGCAGTGGCAAAAAGAAATCTAGGAGTGTATCTAGATCACCTCTACCTCGACGGGGCTCCATTTCCTTCGATAAGATGTATCTTTCCCCTAGAAGATCTCCAAGTCCTCGATCTAGATATTCACCTCGATCGTCACGCTCTCCAGCAAGAAGAAGATCATCTTATTCTAGTCAAACGTCTCGATCTCTCTCATCTCGAGGATCACCATCTCCTGTTAGGCCTAGATTGCATTCTCCTTATCGATACAGATCACCATCACCCATCCGGCGTCGCAGGTCACCATCACCCATCCGGCGTCGCAGGTCACCATCACCCATCCAGCGTCGCAGGTCACCATCACCCATCCGGCGTCGCAGGTCACCATCACCCATCCGACGTCGCAGGTCACCATCACCCATCCGACGTCGCAGGTCACCATCACCCATCCGACGTCGCAGGTCACCATCACCCATCCGACGTCGCAGGTCACCATCACCCATCCGGCGACGTAGATCACCCTCTCCTATACGACGTCATAGATCACCAGTATCAATGCGACATCGCAGGTCTCCATCTCTTGTCCATCATCATAGATCTCCATCAGATATGCATCATATATCTCATTCACCTGTGAGCCACAAATCTCCTCCATCACTCTTCCGACACAGGTCACCCTCCCTTGTGCAACAGCACCGTTGTAGATCTTCATCAACACCAAGACATAGGTCGTCATCCCCTGCACGACGTAGATCACCGGCTTCCAGCCTTAGGTCAATAACTCCTTCCCAGGGTAAGTCTCCACTTCATCAATCAAGTTCTGCCTCTCCTGTGCAATGTAGATCTTCACCAGTTAGGAGGCTTCAGAAGGATCGAAGGTCATCTTTGCTTTTTCCTGGAGAAAGACAACGGTATGTTGAATCGCTGACATTCTGTTCCTACAGATTTTGTTAATTTTAAACATCTTAGATTTATTAAGGGGCTGAAGTGTATGGCGCAGAATGTCTGGGAAGTTGTCTCCTGTCTCTGGATTTCCCTCACATCTGAGGAAGCAGTCTACCAGTAAAGATAGGAGGTGAGTTTTTAAACTTTGTTTTAAGATGTTTTATTTGTATTGGAATCTGTTAATTATTTTTAGTGTCAATGCTTATACAACTTATTTATTTTCCACATTGTTGGTTCTGAAGGTCATCAAGTCCGCATGACAGTCCTATGAGACATTGTAGGGAGCGAATTGCTTGTGATGATAGCTTCAGTCCTGAACAGAAATCGAGAGAACTGAAAGGTCAGCTGGACAGTAAAGTCAGCGGGAGTAAAAATGGAGCCAGCAGAAGCAGGTTTGATTTCAAATTAATCGATTTTCTTGCTATAGTGCTCTTTTTGGATCTTTTATGATGAATGTTCAATTTTGCTTGGTCTAATTTTTCCCATAGGCATTCACCACCATTGAGTAAGCAGAGGGTTTCTCCTACGAAGGTTCATACCCCTGAACGATTGACAGGCATTCAGTCTACTGAAATGAGGAATGACCTTGAAATGGAGAGGTATCTCACTTTGTTGCTACAGTAACTTAATTCTTCATCTTTGTTTAATATTAGTTAGACTGACTGTTCTAGTTCATTCCTCACAGCGAGAGGTCTTCTGGAAAAAGGGTTTATCTGGGAACTTCAGATCAACATAGATCACCTGCATTATCTCAGGACTCATATCAAGGTGAGAAGCAAAGTTCACCACACCTTGGAGCAGGAAAAAGATCTGATGAGAAGAGTCATTCTCGTCAAAATAATATGAAGGATGGTGATAAACATTGCAAAGTGGAAACCTCACCGATGGCTCTTGAAAAGGTTGATCATAATAACAATGGTCTGGAAGGAAGTGATAAGCACAAAACGAAGCATAAGGAGAGGAGAAAGCATAAAAGGTCTAAGAGGCGTGAAGTTACATCAGATGATGATTCTAGCTATGATTCTGAAATTGAGGATAGGAAAGATGCTAAGAGGAGGAGGAAGGAAGAAAAGAGATTAAGAAAGGAGGAGAAGCGTCGACGTCGCAATGAACGGCGTCGCAGAAGAGAAGAGAGACATGCGGAGAAGCTTAAAATGAAAGGTCGGGATAAGGATGATGAGGATGAGGATGCAGAGAAGAGAAAGTCTCATCCAAGTTTTGATGAAGAGGCAGAGACTGAGCAGAAGAAGCTTGAAATTGAGCTAAGGAATCGGGCACTTGAGTCACTCAAAGCAAAGAAGGGCATCACTGGCTGAAACTTGTGTTTTTGGCACGAAGATGTTGTTTCATCTTTGTTCTTATTGAACGAATATTCATATTCAAGTTGCAGTGTCCTTATATTGGTCACAGGTTAATGTAGTTTGTGTTGACTGGACTGGATTTCTTGAGCTTTTCAATTGAGTACAACTTTCTGCTGCTAGATTTCTGGTAATGACCGTCTTCCCACAATGAGGAATTGTTTTCCCGCTTTTCATAAATTTAAAGTCGCATGAGTGTCAACTTTGTAAGTATGGTGTTTGCCTCGATTGATTTTTGTGTTCCATTTATTTGACTTAGGGTGATGTTGACAACATTTTTTATTATTTTTGAAAAGTTTGGTGTAAGATTTAACCGTCTAGAATTAGGTTTTTGTTAAAAAGGTGTATTCATTTCAACTTCATACTTATGGAAACTTCGCCAAACTTCATTGTGCACATAAATTTGTTTCTTATTCTATTTGGCACTTCAGCTGTGTTTCATCCATTGGTCCTAACAATACTTTAATTCAATTGCATTACTCCTACGTTACTTGATCTGTGTCAAATATTAAAGTCCATCACTAGTTAATTCCATAATTCGTTTGAAGAATTGTTATTCTTTTTAAATTATTAAAAATAATCATTTTTATTAAATAAAAAATATAGCAAAATTGCAGTAGTAAAAGGAATTTATAAAAATAAAAAAGACTAAAATCATCAAAGACTATCAACTATTTATTAAATAATAAACCAAGTGGCCTTAGTAATTAAAGGATTTGTTATTTTCTCTTGAGGTCATAGGTTCGAGCATCGCGTATGCAAGGGTACGAGCGATAATTGTTAAAGGGTTAAGAGTCTTTGAAATATACTACACATTGTTTTCACCCTAAATTTATCAATAACAAAAAAAGAAATATGACCATACGTGAAAAATGCTACGCTTAAGAACAAATATCATCAACACTAACATAAAAATAAATATAACGATAATGATAAAAATGTTAGCAACTTATTTTGTTACAACTCAAGTGTGACCTATTTAAAATAATTATGAGTGTTTATCAATATAAAAAAATGGATGTCCATTGTTCTCATATGTAATGGGATAAGGGGAGGTAAGATAGTAAACTGCCCCCAACACTAGGTTGAGAGATCTTCCGTAGGAGACCTCCAAATTATGAAATACCCTCCATGTGACTCGATCCCACGACCTCAAGATTAAGAACCTTGTGCTCTACCCACTGAGCTGGATGATCATTTTATAAGAGAACTAATTTTAGGGTACAAATCATAGGAAGATTGGTAAGATAAATAAATATCAACATGAGAATAACATTAAATTCAACCTTGAAAAAATAAAAAAAAATTATGTTATTAGAACTATAAAAATGTGATGCAAGAGTGAAAAATATTTATTATTTTCCTTTTTAAAAATAAAAATAAATGATTAAATGATTCAAAGATGTAAAAAAATAAAGAGATAAAAAAAAGGAAAAGATGAATGAGAATGAATTGTGATAAAATATAGAGACGATTATTTATTAAAGATCTGTTACACTATCCTACTAAATAATTAAGGATACTTATTTTAGGAATATCAAATAAACTTTATTTTTATCTTTTAATATATTTATATGAACTTTAAATAAAATATTAACTAAAAACTACCCTTTTAAATTTAAGCACACGACTAATAAATTTATATATAAATCTTTTATCATTTTACTTATAATAATTTTTTTAATTGAAACTTTTGAAATATATATATATATATATTCATTAATCTTATAAAATTTAGTGCTCTTTCATTTTAAAATCTATAACTAACCTTAGAAATTAATAACATTAACCACATCAAATGCATCCAAACAGTTTTGTTATAATAAACCAAACACTTGTGCCCCTCACCTGCGCCTCCCCCCAACCGACGCATCAGTCTCATCTTTCTTTCCACGTACCCATCTCCCACTTACCTTCCTTGTCTTCATCTACTTACCCATTTCTTGTCATTGAAATGATTTTATACTTTTATATTATTAAAAATTAATATTATTAATAAAAATATCAAAATAATAAATAAAACTAAATCTATGTATTAATTTGAGAAAAAAATATTTAATTTATATTTTAGTTTAAGAATATTTTCTAAATACTAACTTAAAATATATATATTTAATATTAAATATATGGTTAAGTCTTAATTTTTTCCGATCATAATGCAAAATTAAAGTTAAATTAGCATTTTAGTCTTTCTTAAATGATAAAAAAAAGTGTGAATAGTCTCCGATGACTATAAGATAACATATGTTTAAAAAAATTAATCATTAACAATTTATACACATTCTATAGATACAACTCTTATAATTCGAGAACTCTAGAGAAAAATATATTTTCTTTTATATTATAATAATAAATTACTTATGTTTTAAACTATTTAATTTAAAATTAAAGATTTAAAAAGATGATTAAAACTAAAAGGGTGATTAAAATGAATGCGATGTAGTGGACCCTCATATTTTTCCTTTTCCCTAAATATCGCGTGGCGAACTTACCTTGTTTTGTTGTCGACCCCATGCGATGCAACCTTCCTCTAATACTGTCTTTTCTCTCAATTGAAAATATAAAAAATATTTAAAATAAATATTAATTTAAAATTTTCAAAAGATAATGTATCGTCCACCTTTTTTTTTTTATTCATCCCTATGTATAAACACATAAAGGAATGGATTCACCTCAATTCCAAGCTTAACAAAACATGAACGCCTTTCATGGCTTCAACCTTCTAGTTTTTCATTTCCCTTGAAGATTCTCGCGTTAACCTCGTTCTTGAAAGCATCATATGACAACATGAATACAAGAATTACTATATATTATAACATTGCTTTCAAATTCATCGAAATTCATAAGAAAATAAACATTAATGTTAAAATCCTCACTCTTCCTTCTTGAATTAAATCCTAAACCTCTTTATTTGGCATTCTTAAATTAAATCACTAAATTACCACTTGGGATACTTGAAAAATGAAAGTTCTCTCTTATTTTCTTCAATTCTCAATTTGGAAGAAATATAGGAAATTATGAACTCTATCCTTTCTCTTTGTTGGGATAAAGAATAATGTCACGCCCTTGGAACTTCGACACCTTGGAACGTGCGGCCTTAATCGCATTCTTAGTGATTACGGCTAAGTAAGCCTGAAAATATCCCAAGCAAGGGTGCATAGAATCTCGACGGAAGCTAGACAAGAGAACTAGCACAAAAAGGAAGATAAGAAAGCTTCGAGATAAGAATGGTCTTATGATTTCTCAAAGTGAAGGAGTGAGTACAAATGAAGAGGGGAGGCCTCTATTTATAGCTCAAGCTCCCCTCAATTAACGTCTAAGATCTAATTACATCGACGGTCTAGATTGAATCCTACCTACCAAAAACAAGTGGGCATTATCTATACAAATTTAAATGCCACCAAAGTCTTTGTGGCTTCTAGAAGGTCCAAAACACCACTTGGGCTGCTCTTCATGGGCTAACCTCGGTTGTGGGCTCGTGGTATGTGACATTCTCCCCCACTTATTCCGGTGACGCCCTCGTAACTCGTCTAGCATGTAATTGGTCTATTCGGGTTTTGAATTGCCAAAGTCCCTCGGCATGTTCCCAATTCCCTTCGCACTCGGGTTATCCCTTCCACAGGATAAAGTACTCATGCCTCGGGCGGTGTCCTGGCCGTCGAATAACTCTCTCCGCTTGTATGTCCTGGATCTCCTTGTCATATGAAATCGCTACTCCGACTGGCGCTCGGTGAGACTTGCCTCGATCCAGATCCTCTGTATCCTGATGGTACGTATTGAGTAGGCTAACATGGATAACAGGATACGCTCGGATGGTTGGAGGCAACTTCAATTTGTAGGTCATGGTGCCTACCCGCTTCACGACTCAGAACGAACCCTCGTATCTTCACACAAGCCCCTTGTGCACATCCGCATGGTGCAAAACATTGGCCACCTTTTTAAGGACAAAGTCGTTAACTTCAAAGTTCATGTCCCTACGCTTTCAATCGGCCCACTTCTTGGTCCGCTTTCCCGCCTTGTGCAAACAAGCTCGGGCTAAGTCATGTTGCTCGTGCCACTCCTTGGCAACATTGTGTGCTGATGGATTGGGCCCCTAATACTTGGTAATAATCGTGTTGGGTGTCAACGGTTGTTGCCCGATCATGATCTCGAACGGACTTTGGTTTGTCGCCTCGCTTCGTTGCAAGTTGTAGGAAAATTGTGTCACATCCAACAGCTTTGGCCAGTCTCGTTGGTTGGCACTCACATAGTGCCTCAGATAGATCTCTAATAGAGCATTCAAACGCTCAGTTTGCCCATCGGTTTGTGGATGAACTGTGGTGAAAAAGTTCAAGCTCGATCCCATCAGTTTGAACAACTTCGTCCAGAACCTCTGTAACACCCCAACCCGTATCCGACCCGGATACGAATCCGAGGTGTCACATTAACCTTTTAAAACATGTACTTGTATAAAATAGTGAGTAATTTAAAACTTGTATAACATATAAATGACTAATTTACATAAAAGACATTTTCATTATTACAAAACCAATCAAAGCGTGTATATTTCACTTATTTATTTACATATAACTATTCAAAACATTTATAAAACTGTTCATAGCTTAAACAATATATTCTTTTGAAAACATGCCAACTAGAACTTTATATACTAAAATACATATTATTCACATCTTTTCTGATCTGACCTTTAGTAAGGAGAACTGACCTGTCTTGCTCCACATTACTCTTTACTCTTCTCGAAACCTACGTGTAAATCACTTACACGCTAAGTCAAAGACTTAGTGAGGCAATAAACATATAAGGTAAACGGTAACTAATAATCATACATAAACAATTACTACTATCATTTCATACAACTCATACTTTTACATATAACAAATATATATACATACATATATGTCATTATCATTCATATCTCTTATCTCATGTTCCTATGATCTCTTATGTCCATATCATATATCTTATAAACTTATTATTATATCATCATTTCAATCAATTATACTCATTCACATATACCTTAACATGTACTCATGTATATCATATAACATATACCATATATACTATCATAAAACACGTACACCCAGGCAACTATAATATCATCTTCATTTTTATTAATATTATCTATTTAATAGCCCATGATACACATGTGAGAACTAAAGATATGCGAG